AAATTATGGTGTGCCTATGTTGCCAGTTAAGCCCCAGCCCCTGTCAGCCCCAGACCTCTTGGCAAGTTATGCAAACATTTCTTTTCCTTGGCTACTGACAGCAGACTAGCTAAAAATTGAACCTGGCCACACTGTGTTTCTGGTCTGCCACTAGGACTCTTCCATACCCGAGCTTCTGATACAAGTAGCCATTGCTCAGTTTGAAGGCTCCTGTTCAGGAGAGCACATATTTCAGTCACCCCTCCTGAGGACTGCGCTTGAGAGCATTTTTCACTTCAAGCATTTGATCAAAAGGTATCTTGAAGGGAAAGAATGTTTTCATGAATTGGGGTCAAACTTTTGAAACAGAACAACCAGGAGTTAGTAGATGAGGGATGAACAGGTGTCAAAATAGCCTCAGGACATTTATACCCTTCAAAAGCCTTCAATATATTTGATTTCCACGGAATTAAAGCAATATGCCAACAATCCAGTTTGTGTACAACAATATTACAGATGCTAATGAAATTTCCCAAAACCTAGCAAATTGGTAGGGGAATTTCTTTTGAAGCTTGGAATATGAAACCCTAGTTAAGTGCTCATACAGAAAAGACTGGGATTGTGAATTAATGTAGCTGTCTTATTTTATGAATGAAATGAATGGTATTCCCAGTATTGTCTCAATGTTTAGAAAATTCTGTCTTTTTTGTGTGTACATAAATATTCTTTTGTTGTGAATAATAAAGGACTTCTAATGAAAATATGTGGTTGGTTCCCTAGTTCCATACTTCCACAATCACTTTAATATAATGTAAATACAGGCTGCTGTTGGAAGGGCTAATTCTACCTTCCCTAGTACTGTGGCTATATATTCCCAGCCACATGATAACCAGACCCGGGAAATGTTCTATTTATAAATGAATAGGACCATGGGAAATAGGGTGATAGACTCATCCTTTGTGGGGGCTACCCACACCTTAGCTTAAAATTAGAGAGGAATCATACATTAAAAAAGAGACTGCAAAACAAAATGAAATCCCGCTTAGAACAATCAGTCTTCCCATATTAAAATATTTCGTCTGAAACAAGTAGAATCTCACTAGAATATACTAACAACTATTTGTAGTGCAGACTACTCTGGTGAAGTGTCTTCTCACCGCAAGGTCCTCAGAACAAGAACAGAAGGTAGATTGAGTCACAAGTAAACAAGTGCACAGCCTGATAAACATAAAACTTGGAGAAGAAGGACACAGGGAAAGAAGAGGTGTTTAAGTAAGTTATTCTGAAGCCCAGTGAATATTTAACAAGAAAGAAATACCTTGGGAGCGGTGAGGTTAAAGCAACATCAGCAATGATTATACTGTTATGCTGTATAATTATAGTATGTATTGTACACTAAAGCATTCTAGGCATCTCAGGGGATGTTTTTCTGACTCAGGAAAGAGCCTTTGGGGGTGTTCTTTGTGTAATGCATCAAAAAGTCCACACCACAATAGCCCCATCTCCTCTGGTGCTCTCTCTCCAGAAGCAGCCAATGCGAAGATTTTTCAGAAGACCATACAAATCTTGACATAATACAGTAATTTATAGACTGCTGAGCAGTTTTCCCTGGTAAGAAATATGCTAGACAAGTAATCCAAAGCACAGGCATATTGTGCTAAACTTTCACCGACAGGTAGTATAGCTGCTTTAATGTCATTTCCTATTACTACATAAACTCATATGTAATTTTTACTTTGTGCTCAAGATATGCAAATAATGCACTTGACTTCTTGCTTGACATAAAGATGATTTCCTGCTTTCCGTCTGCACGTATATCAGACCTTCACTGACTTTGTTGCAGGGTTTTGTGGGTTTTTTTTGAGACTGACCTCAGGCTTTTTCCACTCCTGACAGTCTAAAACTCCATCTGCCACAAAGTGGCACAGTCTCACTGAAGAAAATGAGAACTGAGGACTTGGATTTGGCAAAATTAAGTCATGAAAGTTCTCCAAAGAAGTGGCACCTTTTATCTAAATATTATCCTCTTATCTAAATACTACCAGAGGTAGTATTTAGTAGAGAGGTAGTATTAGAAGAACACTGAAAAATATTGACACCACTACTGATGTTAGAGGCATGCTCCTAAGGGCCTGTTCTTACACTAGCAACTATCAAAGAATTACTTCCTTATTGGATTACTCTGAACCACAAGCCATGTAGTCAAAAAAGAATACCCTTTTTATTCTTACACCTTCCAAACCCAGCTGCTAACAGGAACAATTTTCCTCCTTCATTAAGACCACTTGTATCTGGGATAACCTCTATAGACTCCAGAAACAACCTATATAAAAGTGCATGGTCTCCAAGAAGCAGACAAACTGAACAGGATGTCTGTTCAGGATAAGCCCCTAGGAGCAGCTCTGGTCCAAGGTTTTTGTGGCCGGTAGGTAAGAAATGAAGAACAGCTGGAAACCCTATTTATGAAAAAAGGACATACGATGGTAGCACAGAGCTGACAACACTGGCATGCCTGCCTCAGCACCTACCTGAAGAACATCATTGGCTGAAAACGATTACTGCAAAATCAAGATTATTTTGGCAGGAAGTTTTTCAAAGAACTATTGTATCTGTCTAAAGTCAAAGAAGTCCTCTGCCTTACAGTCATCAAAGCACCTGATAACCTTACTGTCTCTCTGGATTTTAACTCATTCAATATCCTTCATTCACATGATCCTAAAAAGTGCTATGTCTCCTCCTGTTGCACCCTGATTTCATCCTTTGATTAGTACATTCCTTACTGTGCGCTCAGTTATATTTTTATAGGAAAACTCTAGTTTGCTGCCAGAATGGTATAGACAGAAAATGCCACTGAAACCACCGCTGCCCAATGGGAACAGAGTGATTCGACAGAAAAATACAACTACCAGCTATTAAAGGTGGAACCTTAGAGAAATCTGATATGGGAATAAAAAAATTACTTTACAAAAGTCTTTTCTTCTTGGTGCTGATAATGTTATCTCTCACCTGCTTTGATCAACAGAACATTTAGCTAAAGGATGAATTTAGAAGTCTCTTCCACGCTATCAAAGACAGGAAGAATATCACAATATAAAAATCAGCAGGTAAAGAACACGGTACGCAATAGGAGTGTCAGTTATAAAATGCCTTTGTGCCAATTTTTAGTATAATCCTGTCTCTAAGACAGAGATTTTTCTATTGTGCCCAGTTTGGAAGTTTGTTTTATTATTCTAATCATAATAAACTGTGACAATGAGAGAGAGATAGATTTATTTTTTAAGAGGTTTCAGCCTGCCCACAGTCATTTGGCTGGAAATGCCTTTGTTCTAAGGTATATCTTCCCAAATTTAGTTTGTACAGGTGCTGTCATCACAAAAAGAGAATTATGCTGCACCATGGCAGCAGCAGCAGCAGCGGGAGCAGCTTCTGGCTGCGTGTGAGGCTTTGTGTGCACTGCAGGAGATGTGATTCTAGCCCTAATTTTTCCTCTGAGTCCTCTGCTGGCCTGTGTACACAAGGAGGAGAAAGTTATCTGGCCATTCCCATCTCTGCTGGGATTGTCCTGAAGTTGTTCACACCACATACATCTTAACTTTGGGATGCCTATCTTGGGATTAAAATCATATACAGAGCGATTAATGATTCACGTTCATAGATTTCAAAGCAAAGGCCAAATAATGCAAACGTGTTATAATAACGCAAACCTATTTAACATCTGCTTTTTTACACATGAGGAAAAAGAGAGATACAGAAAGATTACGACCAACAACCTCAGAAGTATTAGTGGCCAGGTCTCCCTGAAATCAGCCTGAGCTAGGAGCCTAATAAGCTCTGAATGTCTGTGCTCGGATGTCCTGCCTAATGCAGTTAGGTGGGAACGCTGTCCTACTCATTCTGAGCTCCATCTCATTTCACGAGGCCTTACCTGTCCCTCTAGCACATAGCATGTGCTGCTCGTGCCAGCATAATTGGTGCGTGGGTTACAGAAATGCATGATACACGTGTTTGAATTTTTTACTTTCAGCAGATTGAAATCTCTTTTAATGTGCAGAAATATTGCTGGTTCTTGGAGCAAAACACTATACGATTGCCAATGACAGAATTCTCATAAGGTTTCGAAAAGCAGACTTTATTTAATAGGCACATTGTTGCTTTAGTAGCACTGGGCTGCACAGCTCACTTCACCATTTGCAAATGGTTTTGTTTGATTACATTGCATTTCCTCTGACAGTAGGATTCAAGTAAAAAAGTTACTGCTTTTACTTCTCTATCATTTCTCAAGATGGAAAAAACAACAGTAAAACGACTAGCGCACAGGAGCGGAATACAGACAGAGCTGCCTGCAATCCCACAGAAGTCAAGACAACTGTAATTTAAGCACTGAACAGTTAAAGCTGCAAGACAACTACGCTACCTTTGCTCAGATGGGACTTTGCTTATGCAGGATAGAGATGAACGTTGCCCAGAGCCAAGGAACTGGCTTTCATATACTGAGAAACAAAGACTATCCAACACAGACAAGAATGAGGGTTTCAAAACAAAACAGCTCACATGAATTAGCTTCATTATTTCTTATTATAAAAGTTGTACTCTCTCAGCTGTAAAAGTTAAAGGATTAAAAGAAAAGTACTGCTTACAGAACTCTAAAACTGCAATTTAATCAGCTTTTCAGCTGTTTTCTCCCTATATCACAATTCTTTGTGATAAGAGAAAACCATCTTTAAGAGACAAAAACATAGCATTCTGGATTATTTCAGTGATTAAGGAGTTTACTTGGTTGATATTTTTATTCCCTGAAAAATTGCATTTTAATGTTTTATTAAATTCCACTAGTAGTAGCATCCAAAATCATAAATCATTAGAGAAAAATAATACTGCTATATGATAGGAAAAAGCAGTATTTTGACGTAGTTTTATGAGCATGGTTAAAGAAGCACATATGGCATTGAGACATTTTGAAAATGGAAAAAATATTTTGTGAATCTTAAGAATTTAAATTTTAAATGTTATTAGGTTTTACATTTTATTTTCTCAAGGGATATTTCCAAAATTAATATCCTGGAATTTGTTTTATCTTCAAAATATTTTCTAGCATTGTATAGGACAGACAACCTAAAACCAACAATGCAGAAATCTATGCGTGCTGCACACTTTAATATATACTAGTTTAGTTACTAGCACGTTACACTGGAAGTACCTACTTTGTAAAACTCATTTTTAAATTGGCTTGTCAAAGCTTTTGAAAAGTAATCTGAGAAATTAGGTGGGTATTTTCAGTGTCTAACATGAATACCGTCAATTACAGAATTAGAGGTCGCTTTCTCCATACAGTGCTGACGAGAAAGAGGTGTAATCCAGAGCCCCAGGAACAGAACCTGGGCCAGTGTAGGGAGGCATCCTCTTGATGCAGTACTGAGCCTGATCAGGAGGCAGTTCTCGACGTAATTCATCTGCCAGGATATAAGGCTGGGGGGGATGAAAGGGATTGACAAATTCAGTATATATTCTTCCAAGACACAAAATGTATTTATTTTTTGTAGCTGTGACTAATAAATTTGGATGTCCTACCTATTTTCCTGAGACCAAAATATTTTCTTTGGTTAACTCTACCCTTAATGATGAGCTGAAGGGGACAATCTTATCAACAAACCGGCTAGGTCAAAATGCAGTCTCAGAATATGTGACTGTGTACTTTAGCCACTGAGCACTGTGCAGCCAGGGGTAGACCACGGCAGATACAAGAACTCACCCATGGATAGCTCCCTTTCATCTTCATACACCACCCACTGGTGGATCTGGGTGTGGGGAGGAGAGCACGCCAAATATGCTTCAGGAGATGAGTAAGAAACTCACTCCCCCCATGTACCCAGTACCTAGAGAAGGCCTCATCCTCCTGCTTCCTTCAAGGGTAAGGCAATACCACATTGCCTCACCCAGTGGAATGGTCACAACCTGGCTCTCAATTAGGTGGAGTCTTACACAACTGATCCAGGCCTTGTTACAGAGGCCACGTTACAAACTCTGCATGAAACATCCAGGCAACGTTATGACAGGCGGAACGACTTCCCCACTAAGCAAGGCTGCTGTGAATACAGTATAACCTGTATACTGTAAATATAACCTGAGATACAGTATATCCATTACACAGACAAACCGTGGTTTTTGAGCAAATATTGTCTTGGATGTCTAATTTTATGTTAGCTCTTCCTGATGTGAGGCGATACAGACCATGTCTCGAATTCTATATATATTTCAGCTAAGCATCTTGGTTCCAATTAGGAATAAAAGGCAAGTGCTTTCTCTGAAGTCGTACAAACCGAAAGCAAAGCTTCGCTATTACTAAACAGTGTGTATGAGATTTTCAACAAAAAAGGGCTAAATAGGACAGCTCATGAATCCTTACAGTACGATGACTGACCTTATCTGAAGCGAGAATTCTGAAGGAAGCGATCACTTGTTCAGCCGTGTCTGTGTCCGCTGTTTCTCTGGTCATGAAGTCAATGAAGGACTGGAAAGTGACGGTTCCTTGCCCATTGGGGTCAACCAGAGACATGATTCGGGCAAACTCAGCCTCACCCTTTCACAGAATCCAAAACAAAGAAACGGTCACCACAGTGTCAACCTCTGGCAGTCTGCATCTCTGACAAACTGGTAGGGATTGGTGGTTCCAAAATCTTTATCACCTCTTACTGACAGGGACATAAATGTCACAAACAAAGAGCCAGTGAAATCTGGGATCTTAAATGCCTACCCCTCCCTCTTTTGTAAAAGGATTTGATGCTTTTGAAAAATGCATTATGCGTCCTAAAGAAACAGTAGGCATCTTTCAATTAACTTTCTGTAACTTCTCCCCCCACCCTTCCTCCCTCAATGTCTGTATAAGCTGCTCTAGCTTAACACTTCATTTCTCACCCCCTTCCTAAAATCAGTTATGTTCTCATTGTAATCTGGATACTGCACATGGTGGAGGAAAGATACCCCATGAAGCTGTGTACATGCAGACTCACTTAAGAAGTCAGAGAAACAATTATGAAAATATCATGCCAAATACAGGACAGTTTAACTTAGGCTAATCTTTTTTTTTTCTCACAAAAAAAGTGTGAATATTTTTGGAAAAATCAAAATACATAAACAGATGAAGGAAAGAAAATGCAACCCCCAAAGCTAGCTTACAATAATTATGAAAATTAAAAAGCATCAAACTCATTCTTCCTCCTGCAGATAAAAAGTTAAATTTTATATACAAGGAGAAAGAAAACAAATAAATATTTAATCAACTGTAAATTTCAACTTTGTACATTTCTTTATAATTTAAAAAGCAATGCAGCAGACCACAGTATATGACTTTCAAGTGTCTAGTTTTACTTTTAGCTTCCTTTTAACCGTTTGAAAATAGAGAAAAAGCAAACAAACAAGGAACTAGTATATAAAGTCTAAATTATATTATTAGTATTCGGTCAACATAAATAAGCTTTAGTGTTGCTGTGGTTAATGTTACAAGCTGTAAGCAAAGTCCATTTTCACGGTATCTTAAAATTCATACCAAATCATAACCCATTGAAATTAAGCAAGCTCTGAAATCATCATGGTCCATCAGTCCATTCTTCCTCTATTGACCAAAACAGCGTAAGGAATACAGAAGGGAACGTTTGAGGCATCCAGGGTCATTTCCAGAGAGATGATAAGTTTAGACCATTGAGCAATTGGATCCAGTGTATGAACAGTATTCATTGACATTGCCCAAGCAGGTCACCAGGAGCATCATCAGTTTTAAAGGAGGAAGAAGTAGCTAACAGATTACACACAGGAAACAGACGTATTCACCACAAGGAGTAATATCAGGAAGGTTGGGGGAGACAGGAGGGAGAAGGGAGGTGAATGAGACAGGAATACATAGAGCACAACCAGAAGAGATAAAGAGAGAGGCAAACAGAAAAGTTTGTTACTAAACTAGCCAAAGTCAGGAAAGGCACAAGCTGCCTCCCTGATATGCACGTGTTTTGAAGGTTCTGCATGAGATGATGTGTTGGCTACAGGTGTAGTTAAAAACTATCTGAAAATAGTGTATCACTGACTATTTAAACTACTGCAATCCAAGGCTAACATAGCTACATGATAAGAACTGTGTGCTGGGAAATAAGTACAGGGATTTTCCTTCTGCCTATAGGCTAACAGGACTTGGACTACAGCAGAGATAGCAAATGGGCTTAAAAGATGAGACTTGTAAGACTTAATACAAACAGAAGGTGGTCACTGGAAGATCTTTTATGACAGGCGGCTGCTCATTTTTCTGAGCAATAACATATACGTGGCATTTCTGGTTCAGAGCTGAGTAAACATTAAATGGCATTATAGTAAGAAGGTACATAAGAGGTTCCTCTGTGTTGTGATGCTGTGGATCTACTACAGCAGTTTGGGGAGAATCTTATCCTAAATCAGGAGAGAGCAGTAGGGAGCTTGGGCTGAGTCCGGGGAAAGGAAAATAAAAGTCTGGGTGCAAGAAGAACAGCAGTTATTCATAGTTATCAATTAGAGTCCAAATAAAACATCCAAAATCAAGCAGAGAAAGCAACCTGGAAAAACTTTTAAAAAGCACAAAGAAAAATGTGGCTCCGAGGGATGCTGAGAATCCATCCAATCCCGTTGTCCTCCCAGAGGCAGGATCTTTTTAAAGCATTCTGACCAATACACTGGAATTTAAACCCACAGTCCCTTTGGTTATTATTATACTGGTCTATTTGAAAACAGAATAGCGTCAATTTCCTCTACCTGCAGGTCATTTCCAACCTGTCCTAGACTGATGAGGCAGGCTTTAAATTCATCAGACTGCAGCTTGCCAGATTCATTCTAGCATCCCATCACAGGTCATGCATTTGTAAGGTGAGAGGGAAGAAAGAAAAACCACAGATTAGGTTAGCTGATTAGTAGAGAACACGCTATACCTGTATTAATAACCATGTTTTTATATTAGAATTTCATGGACCTTTTATATGTATACATGGCAATGTATTGCCACGAGTTGCATAAAAACTGCACAACTTCCACAGTCTCATACTTTCAGTTTTCTCTTATTTGAGGACTGTCCTTACTTCAACGACAATGTTAAAACTGTGCTTCCTATACAGGTCAGTTATCATTTTTGCTGATAAGCCCCTTTTTGTTCTACTGAACTACCCTTTGCTTCCTTTATTTTCTGCTGACATACAGCAGATGTGAGATGCAGTAAATAGGTTACTGAATCTGGACAAAACCTTTTCTTCCCACTCAGTTATTTTTGTTACTTCCCTCTTGATCCGATAACATTACTTAACAATTGAATATGCATATCCCAAATAAAAGAGAGTAAAAGTACAAATCAGTTGATTTCTTGCCTAGATCCAAAAGAAACTGATAACCGTCATCACTTATTTTCACTGTTTGTCTTCTTTGATGACCTATGCAGTGAAGTTTTACTTTGCAAACTCACTTTAAAGAAGTCCGATTGAATTCCAGGTTAAATGGCTCCTAGTAAAATCAGATCAAATTGGATTACTGTTTTAAACCAATTATTTTTCTCTTTGCAGGCCAAAAAATTCATACTAACTTCTGAAAAACAGATTGTCTCTTCTTTTTCTTTCTGTTCGTTAAAAGTGCATCCTGTTGGAAGTATATTCCAGATTGAGTTAAGGTGTATACGATTAAAGAGATGTTCCTAACTTGGGAAATTGTTACTTTTACTGATTTGGCAGACTGACAGTTTGCAGAAGATCCAAAGTTTTACATATCTTTTATATATTAGAAAGGGGGTTGGCTGATTAATGAATAATTTGTAATTGAAAGATAACTTCTACATAGTTAGGGATAACTAAAATTACAGGAGTTTTAACAGATGCATGTGGTTTATTTCATAAATTAATAGGATAAAGTGGTACTTATATTAAGTTCATGATGCCAAGCATTTCTGACATCTCATGCTGTTATTATATTGACTCCCCCTGCATCAACCTCCACCAGCTCCATAAAGGGAAGATGAAAAAGAGCAGTGTGAAGTCGATGACAGGAGATAAAGCAAAGCTGCAAATCTGAAGAAGCATTTAGTTGAAAGCCATAATCACAGTGAAGTTTTTCCTCTAACATTGACTCTGTTTTATGGGATAATTTCTGCTGTAATGCACAGTATTTCTAAATAGTTTATTACATCATTCACTGAGAACGTTAATCTAGGCTGGCTTGAAACTCTCCAAAATCATCCTGGGGGCAGGCTACAGAAGTAAGTCACACCAGGAGTGAAGTCAGTTGATTTTACCTTATTTCTAAAGCCAAACAAATGTATGACTAAAGCAAAACAATATAAAAATGGGAGCTAAGAGCCAAATCCTGTCCCTCCTCTTCTACAGGAGTTGGTAGAGGAACAATCGCTACTGAAGTATACCTGGGCAGGTAGTGGAAAATGTGCAAGTGAGCTCCCTACCTTGCCACATGTGGCAGCTGTAGTCATGCAACAGGTAGCTGAGGGCAAACGAGGTAAAAGGGAGGATAGCAGATCTCTCGAGCAACCATTTTGCTCTAGGAGAGGAGTGCAAATGTTGTGCTGGAGCTCACAGCTGCCATCTGGTTAAGTGGGACTCCCCAGTGGAGTCCAAGGTCCACGTAGTCCAGCCATGTGCTGCAGCAAGATCTCACATTCTTGTAGTGAATTTTTTCATCTGCATCATCTGTGGCCTAAAAAGGCATCTCTGCCATGGCCATGTATCAGAGCTGCATGGGATACAAGTCATAGATCAAGCCTACGTAAGGGCTTGCTCATTGGGAAACAGTTCTTCATATTTATTTGTATTCTTTACAGACGAACATTAAGCACTGAAATGAGTTTTTAAAAGTTTTTTGTCTTGCTCATCCTTTCCTGCCTATACAAGGTAAAACACTGAAATGTCCCATATTGTTTCATTACTAATCCCAAGAAATCTGTTATTTTTCCTGCGTGATTTATATGTGGCCTTACACAAAAAAGAGCTTCTGAGCCAAAGTAATACATTCTCAAATATGCGCTTCAGTTTTCTGAATGTTAATTGCCCTGCATAAGCCTGGTCCTGAGGTTCCTTTAATAGGGAGCTGTTGTTTTTCTGTTAGTAAAATATAGGGTAGTATAATGCTATTGTTCTACATGCAAAGCTCCTACTTAAAATCTGCAGTTTGCACAAAAATCAATAGTAGAATATGTTAACAGACATTAGGATATTACTTGTAGAACAGCTGCAGATATTTTATCACATGCTTTGCAATCTTATTTAGAATTTACTAAACATGTTGAATCTGAAAAAGGAATCCCTGCATAAGAAGATCAGAAAACCAGTGACTGACAACATATCTACGTCAGTGTTCCAGTTTGTCTATGTACAGCAATTCAGCAATGCACCATTTTGAACACTTCAAAAATTCCTCCTGTGATTCAGACATGGTGTCCTACTTTCTTTTTCTTTTTCTTCTCTATGCAGTCACGTTAAGGAGGGAAATATACCAGCATGGCTAAAGATTCATATTTATACCCAGAACCAGATCGTGCCTTTAGGCACACCTTCGAGCAAGGAGGAGTGAGTAAACAGCAACATCCCCAGGAACAGCCTCTGGGGTACCAGCATGCATTTATACTTGCTGGAAACAGAAGAGCATACAGGGCTGCCCCCTTGCCCCAAGAGAGACAGCGTATTTACCAGTGGCCTTTAACAAGGATGACTTCTTATGTTTTCTGGGCTAGCACAGCTATGCTGGTGGAGGTACTGAAAGAACTGTTTCTGCTCTTGAAATTCTTATATGCTTGATGCCCACTTACTCAGTGCAGTTTGCAGGTCAGGGGCATGTAGCCCCAAATAAAAGCCTGTCAGCTTCCCAATATTCAAGATATAGAAGCCATTTAGAACAATTTCACTCAATTATTCAACTCTCTTCCAAACGGCTAGCAGCTGCAGCATTAAGCCCCATAACAAATTATAAGACATGAGATTATTATTTTTTGTATATTTTCTTTCTATAGAGGGAGAAAGGCTTCCTTCCTCAGATCTGTAACCAAAGGAAGTTGTTTTTAGAAGCAGTCTATAAAAAGCTGTTAGGTTTCTGTGTACCAAAATACATTCTTTTAAAACGGAGAAGGGAGCAAATCTGCACGTTAATACTTCGATGGCATCCTCAACACACACTAAGAGTCAGACATTAAGACCTGTCTTAAACTGGAGAAATGTCATGGAAGTCAGAGCTACTGCATGCAGAAATGATACTGTTGTGCTTATGTATTTAAAGCCTGCTTGTCAGGGACAACATTAATTTTCTGAATCTTTTCTGGCTGTTCTTCATTGTGAACTGCAGTCTTTCAGTGTATTTTTAACTACCTCATGCTTTTAGAGATGCTGTTAAGAACAACAGAATTATTACACACAATGCTAAATGCCAATTCCATCTTACACGGAGAACTCAATGTTCTTCATGTTAGTGCTTGTGTCCAGGTGATAGAGTTTCATCTTCATTTTTATTTAAGGTAATCAAGTCCATAAAAGAATCCATTTCTGCCCTCTCTATCTAAATTCCAAGTTTGGAGTTTTCATATAGGACAGAGGAGGGCATAAAAAAAGAAAAACAAGCCTCCCTCATTCCAACATCATTGTTCAATGTCTCCTTCTAGCCTGTGTACATCTGCCTATTAAGTTACACTGTAATTTAGTCAGTATAAGACTCTCTTTTATCAGTGTTTCTACTAACTGTCCCTGCAGAAAGCCTGGCTTGACAGCGAAGTGTTTTTAGATCTTTTTTTTAAATTTTGCATGATGCTACTAAGAACATAATTACTGTATTGTGTCAGTCCAAAGGTCCTTCTAGACTAATTTCCTATTTCTGATGCTAAAGGAAGGAGTGTAATAATGAGGGGCATATGCAAAATGGTTCTTCCCTTAAGGCAATCCTTCTAGGCCTCTTTTTGAAGGATTTTAGATTATATCTCTAGAGGGGGCAGGTGAAGTCTGCAGCTCAGCTCACAGTCTTGGCAGGTTGTTCGAACCACACAATCTACTGGAGCATCACAGAATCACAGAATCACAGCATCTCTCCTTGCACCTCTCACTTGGCTACCCAGGTTTCCTGGGACAGAAGCAAAGGCAGAGAGGACACCGCGTGCAGCTGTGTCTCATTTCAAACTGGAGAAAAGGGCAGCTAGGGGTAGGCAGGAATCGAGGACCTGGAAGTACTTCTGTGTTGCACATTATTGTCACAGCCCATCTCCAACCTGCCTGCAGCTACGTGACATCCGCACCTCTCTCAGGCCCTGTCATGCAGTTTTTCCTAAGGCCTTGCTCTGTTATATCCTTTGGTATCTCAAAGTCTTTCTATTTCTGGAAAGCCTAAAGATCCATAACGATAGGGCTGGTTGCTGTAGGAGTTAGCTTGCCCCTACAAGACTTTCTGAGGCACCAAGACATGCCCATAATATCTCCTCAGTAGAAGGATAAAGCTATTGAACCAGCCTTGCTGCCACAGTGGCAGAGAACTCATCTCTGAACTATGCTGATATTGGGATGCTAGAAACGGCTATTGAGTGTAAGATAGATTAGGATTCAGCCACCTTGATTCTTTATCCTCAGGGAGCTGTCAGATCTTTGTGCAGATAGAGTCTTTTAAATACAGGTGTGTAATTTGTCCAGGCCTGATGCTCTATCTGCTTTTAATAGCTCTAATTACTCAGGTACCTGCTCCAGTGCAGGAAAGCCATTTAGTATGCTGCTTCCTTCCAATCCCAGGAAATTTCTCTCTGCTTCTCTGATACCACCTTCTGCTTCCTTAGCAAATATGAAAAGGAATTACTCCGCCCTACAATCACTTTGAGATTTTGCATAAAATCTGTCCCTAATTCCTGTGTAGCTAACCTTTTCTCTGCTTGCGTGTTTCCTCAAAAAGCATAGATTTGGGAATTCTGCTTTCCTTCCTAAACAATAAAGGATAGCCAAAAGGATGTTCAGCAAACTGTGACTATCAGCATCCAACATACATCAAGTATAGGTCCAGGTACGGTTAACCATTTAGGATAGAGCTGGTCAGAGAGGATGTCGGTGAAAGTGAAAGCCAGCCTTGAGAACAAAACTGAAGGAGAAAAGTGGCATTTTGCTATAGCCTTTCATGATTTGAAGGAACTGACCCATGTGATAGCAGAACGGGAGTTAACAGTTGGGTTAAGCACGGTTTGATAAACACAGGACTCTGTATTGAGATAAAGACAACAGCCTGGTGGTGTTGTGTTATGGTAATCTTTTTCAGTATTTGAAATTAACTGGGTTTTGAAGTAGAGTTTTTTTGTGAGCACAGAGCCAGCAGAGCTGCTAAACTCATGTACAGATGGTTCTCCAACTGGGAATGTCAGTGCCCTGTCTGTATGTATTTTGCTATTGTGTCTATCAATAGCTATTTTTTAACCTTTTATCCATGAGTACTGTGCAAATCACAGGAGTGAGTTAAGTTTCTTCACAACAGTGTTTTCATTCCTACTTTTTTATTCATCCCTAATTAGATGACTCAAACATATAGCCTCCCATTCCCTACTCAGCCAGAAAAATAAAGGATTTTCCTTGACAGCTTTCACTACCTCAGCTATATTCCCTACAGATCTATTTTGGGGGGACAAGTTGTTATTTAAAGAAAAAGATATCATAATCCATGTTACAGCTAAATGAAAATTTAACATTTGCATTTAAAGAAACAGAAGCCACTGGCAAGCACATAGAACTTGCTGTACTGCCTTAAAATAAAGGAAGAGGCACATTATTTTTCAGAATACACAGATGTATCCAGTCCTGTCTGTTATTTGAACAAATACTCAACCATATTCACTGAACTACAATTTTTCATTAAAGACTACAAATTAATCTTTAAAGTATCCATACAATGCTATGATTTTATAGACATAAATCCTATTTTTAACTGATCTTTATTACAGTTTTTGAAAGAGCCCGTTCTTACTGCATTCAGTGTTTCTAAAGAGGATTTCATTTGGAATGGAAAGCGACTGGCTTTTGCAAACAATGCATATTGTTAGAGGAGAAAAAGCAGGAATACTGTACCCTGTCAAAATGATTGAATGATGCTCTGAATTCATTCATTTGTTCCTGAGTGATACCCTTAGCATCTCTTGTGAGGATCTGAGTCTCAACCTCATTGATAGTTCGAGCAATGGTGGTAAGTAAGAGCTCCCATCCAACACGGATGTGCTAAGAGAGAGAAAACATTGATTTATAAAGGAATAAAACATATTCTTATGAGTCTATAAAAAGTACAATAAGCAAAAAAAAACCATCTCTACATATTTATGTGGTACTTTTTCAGTACCACTGACAGCACGTTATGATCAAGAATCATTAATAATAAAATTAGCCTTCAAAAAATATGGAATTGGTTTCTAAATGGGTACTTCTTTATGAAAAGTAAGTGATCCTAGCTTTTATTCTAGGCCACCAGACTTGGGTTTGAGAGCTGCTATTTTCTGTAATCTCTGTTTAGTCAGGGGAAGTATTTGACTAGCACTGTTTCCAGCATTCCCAGTTTCAGACATTTTCCTGCTTTCTTTAAATTTGCAGTCTCAAAAGTTACGTTACAAATATGGTAAGTTTTCTTCAAAACAGAAGAGGAGTCTTCTGTGTAAAATATCTCTCACAGAAGCTTCATCAGGATTGGTGCCTTCACTGGTAATCTGTGAATTCTCATGGCAAACTAGTAAAGTAGAAACATTGCTTTGTCAAAGCAAAGCAATCCACTACTGTTCAAGGAAAATAAGACAAGTCATGACGAGCTACATTTTCATTTCAGTTTTTTGGTCATAGGAAATTATAAGGGAAATCAAGGAATACCCTTCATGTTCCATTAAAAAGCATTTAATAATTTCTCCTCCACCTTTCTTAGACGCAGGAAGAGCTCTTTAAAATATCTTAGGCCTCAGACATGCAAATAGGCCCTACTCAAGCTCTTGGCCATCCTCAGCAGCATGAGGATAAGCGACAAAACCCATAGTATTTTATAAAATAAGAGCAGCAGTCTTGTGACTTCAGCCATAAACCACGGCTGGGACTCACAGAACCTTACAAAACCATTCAGACTTTCTTATAAGACTATCGTAAAGTCTGCTGAATTCCATCCTCTGTTGCAGTCCCTTCAGATCAAGCAAGGTAGTTATGAGGCAGGAGAGGGCAGAATAAATTAACAAGTATAAAACTAACTAAATGGCTACCTCCATAGTATAGTTGGTGTGCTTGTTGTCAAACACCAGGGCTTCTTGTATAAGCTGATGATCTCCTTCCAGTTTGTCAATATTGGTTTTATAGTTGATGATATTGTGCTCATATTGCTTCAGCTGATTCATCTGGTCCTCCAAAGGCCCTGTCATTTCAATAGAGCTGCGGGCAATTTCCTGTCAAAAGAAACAAAGAACCCCCATCCCAAAATCTAAGCTTCAGATTTGCTGATTTGCTGAATGTTCACATAAATACGTAAGATCGTCAGACTAAGAAGCAGCAGTAATAAAATAGTCACATGAAAGACAAGATGTATTTTACTGAAGAAAGTAAACTTCAAGAGAAATGTGGTACATTTATTTTTGGAATCAATATTGAAATCCCTGGATCTTTCTGCAAAGAGCAAAGGCAAAATAGTAATTGTCTAGTGATTGTTTTTCAAAGCTACATCTCCTGTTCACTATCAGGGTACACTTGTACAAGCTTGCACAGCTTTCAGAATAATCTTAAAAGGTGCTAAATTACTTCAGGATCAAAGAACTGGTGAGCTATCATGGAGACTGCTGATGTCCTGCATATATAGCGGAGAAAAATGATAAAACACTTTGTTCATCAGCTTCTGCTTGAGGGGCCGACACTCACCTCCATCTTGGTCTGGATCCACGGCCCAATGACATTGGCCTGAGCAGCAAACTGGCGACGTAGGCGCTCATTTGAGTGCTGGCGGGCTAGCTCCTCCTGCAAGGATTGATCCCTCTGGGGCACCAGCTGTTTCACCTGTCACAGTGTGAAAGAACATGACTGTATACTTTCAAAACAAAAAGAACAAATAAGACTACAATTATTCTTTTGCACATTGGTCTGAAGACTGATATCAGAAGGACAAGCCAGAAACACGACCACTAATCTATTTACCCAGCTAACATAAGTACTTGCTAGTATTGGGCAGCCTGTCAAGAGACCGACATGTAGTGAGAAGAAATTCTCACCTCTGGTGGGATTCAAGATTAAGATGATTACTTAACTTTAACTCAGTTACTAGAGCAGGCACTTTGTTTTTCTTTTGAAACACATATCATTATCAATCTCTAAGGAATAGCTCTAAGAGTTATCAATGCAAAAACATTTCATTCAAGCAGAGCCATTAAGATAAGGTAACATGAGATATGTTCAGTCCATCATGCATATCTGAAGGTCTCTAATAGGTTGCAATTGCTTTTCTTGGCTTACTCTTCTGGATTGCCCTGGGAGATTTTTATGTAGTCCTTACTGCTTGGTTCTTGTAACCCACTAAGAGCATGTTCTTGTTCTTTGCCACGTAAATGTGTGTGTTTGGTAAATTTGTAGGTTCTACACATTCACTTATCTTCAACACATTCTCTGTCTTGGTTTCTAATAAAATAAAGTTTACGTGATCACTCTGGGAGCCTCTCTTTAATCCCTCTGCAGTAATTTTTTAATCTATTAGCCAGTTTCAATCCAACTGGACTGAACACTGAATGTCACAAAGATGTTAAATTTTTACAGATTTCATGAAACTCAGTAGAAAACCCAGCAGCAGGGTAGAAGAGACCCACAAACTAGTGTTTACACTGAGAAGAAGAAAGTAATCATTTTCTGTTCTGCTGGTAGGCACTCTCTGGCCCACCCGCTGGCCAGCCACCAGGTCTGCACTAGCCACAACACATATTTCTTTTGCCCAGCCAAGAACCTAAAAAACTACATGTGGAACATGGAGTGATGGGAGCAGGGGATATTGTGAAGCAGGCCTAGTAAACATGGGAGAGAGAGCACAGGACAGTGTAGAAAGTTTTAGGGAACGTGTGAGAGGGCTAATAAGAGACACTAAAAGGACTCAGTGCTGTGGTAAAGGCATATACAGAATACGAGGTGGAGTAGTCATATGCAAATAGGGAAATACAAGTGGTTCGGGACTAGGAGTGAGGAATAGGACATAAATCTATAGAAAGGTAGCTTCATTAGTTCCACTGCAAGAAAAACTTACTTTACGTGCAAATCTGAAATATGATCATCTCAAAGGCAAACCTCTGCGCATTTTGCTGTTAACTTCAGTAGAAATGGTCCCTACAACTGGACACTTATTCTCCATGTAACTACATATCCATAGGACTGAATAAGACAATTATAATTTAGGAAACTGTAATTCTATGTTACAATTATTATGAACCCCTTGAAATATTTTTAAATGTTTTATATCATGAAAACTAACATAAAACCCTATTTCTTCTTTCATCTCAACATCAGGTACTCAGATGATCTATTTTTTTTATAATGGATGCAAAATGTGTTCAATATGCTTTTAGCATAATAGGTAATAACCTAATTTTATGCTGCCACCTCCTTCTGCTGTCCATATTTGTAAAGATTTGTAATAATTAATTGTTACTTTGTGCCAGTTCCAACAGTTTTTAACCACTGATGGGCTCATCCTGACATCTGATGATCTAGAATAATTAACAGATTTATTGTAAAGTTCTCTGAATATTCTTAGGATTCATAAACCAGAATAATATGTTACAATGTCCTTTCTGCATTTAGCATACATTACCTTTTCCCACTTGGTACGGATTTCTTCCACAGTGACAGTGCTGTAAGGATTGCTTGAGCTTATTCTCATGTTGTAACTCTGAATAACTTTCTCAACTTCATTCTGGATTGACAATATGGCCTGTCTTTCACCATCTGCCTCCGGCAAAGTAGCTTTAAACTGATCATGTGCAGAGATTAAACTCTAAGATGAGAGAGAGAGAGGGAAAGCATGAAAACTTTACTGTTGCTTCTAACATCTTTAGAATCTGCCGTAAATAAGCACAGTTTGTCTCTCACCCTCTCAAACACCCTGTCTACATGTATCTCTCTAATTCAATGAAAAAGCCCTAATTTTATCAGGGCTATCGTTTCCTCCGTGATCTCCGGAATACTCTTTCATACCAGTAAAGAAAGAACCCTATTCAAAATAGAGAAGACATCACAAAGAAAATGTCAAGGGAGGATATGTTTACTTCTTACGCTTATTGTACTCTGCAAGAAGGAAAAGTTTCCTTTCTTGTCTTCCCTTATGACTGTAAGCCAAAAATAGACAACCATGTACCTGAATTTCCTCTATGCTATGAACGATAAACATGTCTTGTAGATCTTCCATAGCACCTTCCATCCAGTTGTTGAAAGGAGCAGCTCTTTTGGCAAACTCCAGGTGAAGCTGATCAATTGTTTCCAGCAATTTCTCCGTCCTCTGTACAGGTTGGGAAAGGTACATTCCTCTGTTACCAGGGCACAAGCTAGCTCCAAGCACATATCCATGCACAAAGTCATGCCTCATTTTTTCAGAAGCTACTGATTTTTTTGACTGATTTCACCACTTGCTTGAGACACACTGAATATTCTCATTGAAGGCAACAGGGATAATTTTATTATAGTTATTTTCCTATCAAACATGTTAAAAAGGGGTATATGCCTTTGAAGGATAAGAGGTGAAATTATTTTTTGCCACTTATGATATTTTACGTTTTTTTTTGCTATTGTAATCTATCTGCAAATCAATTAAGATCTGCTAGTCTTGCTTTAGCAATCTCTTTTAAGTAGAAATAGAAGGAGTTAGACATATGTTTTCCACTTCGGCATGTGTGTGTGTGACTTCTCTTTTCTTAAAGAACATAACTTTGGAATACTCACTACCAAAAAATTCACCCAGTACTGGCCATTATCCCATAACGCACCTGATTTATGTTCAGACAAGTATAAAAAGGTAACTGCCTAATGGATTTTATTATTCTTGCAGGGCATCAAATTCCCAAAGAGTGGTGCTATAAACCACATTCCGTTTGTTGCTGCTTTATAACTGTCCTTGGCAGCTGAGCACTGTAAAATTTGTTCTGAGCAATTCAACCTGTTTGCAAATGACATCACAGCAAATTGAAATGGAGATCTGAAGAAAGGGGTTTATCACTGTTTAGATTTCACAGTGGATGCTCAATAGCACTGTCTCCAGTTCCCAAACAAAAGGTTTCTTTGCCCCCACCTCAACTGAGCTGCTGATCGTTGCTGTATAGTTTACCTCCAGTGCCTCCCTCCTTTTCTGAGTAAGTGTTCCCAGTCTGTCCCATTGGTCACATATCTTTTGGCATCGATCATTGACACTTGCAGCATCATGGTAGTCCAGTTCACTAAGAAAGAATGAAGACAAAGTCTGTGTGACTTTCTAAGAGAAAAGAGTAAGTTGCACATTCTGCATCCTTTTTCACTGGCCCTTAGTAATTCTTCCCCTCTCTTTTGCAACATTTCTCCTCCAGCTAGGCAAGCGTTGCAGTATTGCCATGTGTGATCTAGGCATTCAATATTTTAAGAAGCACAGCACAAGAACAGGATCAACCTCCTCCGTTGTGAGGAAAATCAGATGTCCATCTGTGACCATTAAGCTGCCTAACCATCAACTGCATCCCAGCTTTTCCTGTGGCACACAGCAGTTTGATCTCCTGAAGCCCAGAATGCTGCAGTCTGGGGCTTTATCAAGTTCCTGGTGCTTGGAACACTGTTAAATTAAATTATGTGAGACATAATAGTTTCATTTTAAATAATCCAGTGATCCTTTCCAGCCTCATAATCTGTGAAATTATTTACCTCGCTTTGCGCTCCAGGCATAACTCCTCTCTCACAGGCCTGCCCGCACTAACAGAACCTGCCCAGATCTGGGGCACAGGGAACAACTTTCATCATTGTCTCCAGGGAAACCTGGCAGAGCTACACCCTACAGCAGCCTGGTTCAGAAAGAACAGGCATCTCCAGACCCAGGCATGCCACCAGCACGAATCAGTGCACGCACAAAGGAGGTAGCAGCTAGCTAAGTTGCTTTCTTACCTGCTGAATAGGCTTATGTTATGCTGCCAGAAGGTGACTTATTCTGAGATGTGCAATAACTTTTCAAGGCTCTCTTTTGAAATTCTGAGCTAAGTCTGTCTCAAATCAAGTTTTGGATCTCAGTGACAGATAATCCCCTTGGTTCTGCTGCAGCCTTCATGCCCATAATAAAATACATACGTTTGGCACTTCGGGACACTTAGTGTATCATCATCCACCAAATTTAGCTCTTGGCTGCTCCTTGAGGACACTTTGCACAGCACAAAGCATTGCAGAGATTGTGTTTATGTGACAGCCTGGCAACACGAAGCTAAGATTTACTCTAAGGCTTGAACAAGACATAAATGTGCAAAACTAAATTAAAAATTTACGTAACTTTTGTCCTGATCCAGATAAACATTTAAGAATGAGCTCACTTTAGGAACAGTGATAGTGTCACAAAAATAATGGAATCTGTTCCCTTCTTTTGAACATTCTGCTTTAGACAATTGCAAGAGGAATGTACAGATCACTTCTTCCAGTAACTCAGTCAATCACAGTGGACAAAATGAGAACAGAGGTAGTTTTCCTCAGTGTAGCTGCAGCATAGGACAGTGGCAGACAAAGTCACGAAATATCTGAACCATTCTGTTAAAAAGAGGCTTCAGATATGCTGCAATCAATTGACTGTTGAAAGTGAAAAATGCTAAAACAAGAAAAAAATAAAATGCCATTAACAACTTAAAAAAAAAAAAACCCAAACCCCCAAAATTGTAAAAGCAGAACTGCTACGTATAAGGAGGACGCTGCCAGCAAGCCATCCTACGCAACAGCTCCCTAACTGTAAAACTTGCTTCCTCCTTTGGAGTAAGTCTTTTTGTTAGCCTCCAAGGGATGCAAAAAAAGCCATATATTTATGAAGAAATTATAAGACAGAAGCATGGAGCTTTGGATGAAATGGGTCGAGACATATTTTGCTGCTATGACTTTTTGGCTGGAAGTTAATTTTTTTGTATTACAGCATATCGAGACTATTAGGTGATGTTCTTGTGTGAGCTGTGAGCTCAGTTAAGTGGATGGGATGTGGAGATTTGTATTCTGGTCTCTTTTAGAATACTATTTCTAATATACCAGAGTAGGTACAGGATGTTTTTCCAGATATTCCAGGTCATATCCTTGAGACTACTGCAAATTTTATTTTTGGTTCAGTGGATCACTTATTTCCTTTTGTCAATTAGGATAAGGGCAGACGTCCTTCCATGAGAGTGAGGGACTGATTCAGCTCTAGTCACAGTCCTGTGACATTATCAAGACAACTTTTCCAAAGAGTACCAGTGGGTCAAAAATTATAAGCTAGATCGCCAAGTGGCATTAATCAGTGTAGCTCCACTACCCTTCTGGGCCTGCCATAGCTTACTTCACATAAGCGCATGATATGATCAGAGAACATCTTTATGCTTGAAATAGAAACAGAGGAAGAAATAACAATTTGTAGCAGATTATTTACATAGAAATAAAACACGGGTTTACATTCCTTGCCCTATTAATTTTTTGTATCTCTCTCAACACTGAAACTATGAAGAGACTAGTTTTCACATTTCTGTAAAAAGAAGTTTGACTTATCATGCATAAACAGAGCACTGCTGCGCATGCATTAATAGAGCTTCCAAGGGACAGACATTTCTATTTATTTGGTTATTTGAAACCTACAGGCTTTGGAATTTAAAAATCAGGAAGTTATTTCTATTGTTCTCACAAGTAATTAAATCTTATCCTTAAAGAATTAAAAATTTAGGCAAATTTTGTCCAGAGAAGGATTTCAGTATGAGCTCACTTTAGGAAGAGTGATAGTGACACAAAAATAACCTGCTGAGCAACATGCTTCAGCGCTGATTCAGAATCAGGTTTATGTTAATCATGCACAGAAGCACAATTTGAGCTCGGGTTTCCAAAAGCAAAAGGGCTCTCCTAATCAATCTATGTTATAATTCCACATAGCGGTCTTCTTGGCTGCAAGTAAGTTTCTATAGTAAAAGTGATGCATATGCAAGAAACTACATTCAGTATATTTTATCCTGATGATGAAAAACATTGGAATGAGCGCAAAGGACCATAAATTAGTACAACTCCTTTTAGTACGGCTCACTTCAGTTATATTTAGCATTTACTATGTCAAAAATGGGAAATCCCATTTCAGAAATCTCTGACTCTTCTTCTAGCTTTGTTTATGGCCCCATCCAAGCCTTATCATGCTGCACAGCCAAGGATTTCCAAGTCTATACAGGCTGGTGCACAACAATCTTATAGCAGCACCCAGGCTGGAATGACCTGCTTGCACACACACAAATTCTCTATCTAGACAGCATCAATCAACAAGCTTTTAACAACTTTAACCTTTAGCTCACAGTGGACTCAGCTGCCGCAGCAAAAGATATCAGAGCAGACAATGAACCGTAACTGGAACAGTTCAAGGTCACACAGTAATTATTCACCTTCAAAATAGCAACATTAGACAGCCAAGAAATGACGAAAAGAAAAGGTATGGAGGTATACTAACTTGGAATTTAGATACAGACAATGATGATTTCTGTAACACTGAAATCATTTCGCTGGCCTGATCCAGCGACCAAAGAAACCAACAAAAAGACACCTGACATTGACTTCAGCCTGACTTTGACTCAGGCACCAATGCACATTTCTCAGCATTCAGAGGTTAGCTTAGTCTTTCTTAAAAATGTGACTGGAGAAAGAAACTCCAGCATTTTCCTCCATAATTTCAACGGTTGTGTGAGAAACTGTGGATAAATAATTAAAAACAACATTTAAATAGAAGCTGCCCATTTGCTTGTAGCTACTAATGAACCTTGGCCGTCAACGTCTTTCATTCAGTGCCCTTCAAGGGCATTAAGCCTGAGTTGCCCAGCCTTAGTGAAAAACCAGGCAGTGATAGCCCCCTTGTATGGATGAGCAGAGGAGCAAAGGAGAGCATCTCTACAGGCAATGGATCTTCAGCACCTTTGCAACCCAGGCCACAAAGAAGTTGCATAATTTCACACAACAAATCACAGAAACAGCAGCGAAGAGAGAACCCTGAAACAGACAGGATATAGCGTTCACTGGCCTCACTAGAGGTAAAGGACACAGAGTTTAGAAAGCTGGTAGCAGCTGCTGTGCTATGTATACTACATACTCAAGGTTTCCCATGACTTACAAAGCTGAAGCTGAATTAACAATGATTAGGTACTTCAGAAACTTTCCGTAATATAAACAGAAGCAATAACTCCACACCAGAAAGGCCTATAGGTCAGGGTGACACATAAGGTGTTTCACAAGCTGACAGTCAGTGAAATCCGCACAGTCTGTATCTTTCAGACTTCTTTCACAGTAACTCACAAAAAAGTACTTATTCTGCCCACTGTGCTCTACTTATCCTCCTTTAAATAAACTTGAAAAACAAAGGATTTTTTTCCAGATCCATTTTTATGACATCGCTTCTGTATGTGCTGCTGCTATCAGGTGCGAACTACATGTTTAGATAGGTCTTTGATTTTTAAATTGTTAATGAATTTGGAGCTGTTTATGAGTTACAGTCCTTTACAAAGTGAAAAGAAAACATTTTTTAACACTTGCTTTTTGAGTAGTAACTGTTTTGGCCACTTAAGAAGTTGAGAAGCTGAAACTTGGAAAGTTGACGGAGGAAGCCGGGGTAAGGATCTGAGAGTATCTTTATGTTGGCTGTTTTGATCACTAACGCGTATTTGTTTCTTTTGACTTTACAGATGTAGATTGCAGATTTATACTGCAGGTGAGCAATGAACTTCAGTATGTGCCAAATGTCAAGATCAGGAATAGTGCCACCGATTTGCAGGACAAAAACCATGCAATTGACTAGAGCAGATTATAAAATCAAATGTGCTTAACTCGGTTCCACAGCAAGATTACTTTACCAGAACTGGTATATAACAGCAAAGCCTGTCAGCGTGAGCAGAGCTGTACTGACAAAACTGTGCTTCACAACTGTGAAATAACAACCACTGCTCCCTAATAACAAAGCAAGTTCTGCCGATAAAAACAGAGCTTTGCCAGAGTAACCACAGCAACACAGGACGTCTGCTGCTGTAAGAGCATCAGTCAGGAACTTCAGCTCTTCACATCCTTAACCCACCCAGCTGATTTCAGTGGTACAGACCATAGCCTAAATGTGTTGTAGAACTGTTCTCAGCTTTGTCTGTGTTTTCTTTGGGTATAGTGTGTTGAATGAACAAGTGTTGGTCCTATGACTAAGTTGCTAGAGCTGTGGGTGAAAATTCTTGCTTTCCTACAGCTGGCTTGTGTAACCTTGAGCAAGTCATTTAGCCTCCACACGCCCCACTGCCCCTTCTGTAAAATGGAGACAACGGCAATTCCCAATATCAAAGGGAGATATTGTGAAAATAGTTATATCAGAACCAATAAAATCTTCGGACTCTTCTTACTGGAATATAAAAGTGTAGTATATGACTCATTACCTATAGAGAGGATAATTTGGGGATGTGAACCTTTTGAGATGGCCTATATACTTGTGGGAAAATACTTGAATTTAAAGTGAAAATGCTTGATCTGTAATTTGTCTAGGTCACGTGAAATTGTTTTCTAAGGTGAACAACTCACAGTCAGTGCCTCTCAGCAGACCATATGGACCAAGAAATAAACACCTCCAGCGTTCCTATTACAACACGCAATTTACTCATCAGTAGAGCTAATACTAAAAGCTCACTGTTAAGTCAATTTAGAAATGTCTGTTTTCAAGTAATTGTTGTCAGTTTAATACAGTTTAATATCTGTATTTGACTGGAGGTTGGGAGAAGAGAAGGGGAAGGTCTCAGTGACCAGCTCAGATAATATACTTATGAAGCTATCTCTGGAATTCTTACACTGGTACCTATGACACTATCGAATTCACTGGAAAGAGTTTATCACAAAGTTAAATGTCAGCAGCTGCAAGCCTTTAAATGGAACATACTTCAGCTCCTGGGCAATGGCAGCGATCTGTTCCACCCTGTCCTGGTGAGCAGCCAAATCACTCTCAAAAGCTTCATGTTTCCTCAACATAGCGCGAACTTCTGTCAGAGAAGCAGATTCATAATCCTTCTGAAGTAAGATCTGCTCTTTGCCTGAAAGGAGGAATTAAAATATTAGTAATTTTTTTACTAATTTATTAATTAGAACAATTGCAAATTTAGTCAATTCTTTTAACTAAGGCATGGTCCCTATCACACTGGGATGAAATCCTGACCCCGCTGAAACCAGTGACTAATGGTCTGCGCAACAGTTTTGGTTAGGAATATATATTTTTCAAAGACCTTTCAACAATTCCTTTATTCTTGCACAGGATGGTTATATTGGCCTCAAACAGCTAGTATTAGACTGCTTGAGAAAGTGGTGTACTGGCATAAAAATGGTGTATTGGCAAAAACTGGAGCTCTAGGCTATTCTGGTGAGTCTTTTGTAGTGCATTCCTGATTCATGAAACCAGAAATCACACTGCTATGCTCAGCTTCACTCTTATTAATGATCTATTATTCTTTTTCATATCGTGCCTTCAATTCATTATTCATTTCAGCACTTCCCCCAAAAAGTTAAGATTGAGATGTGTGGTTGTCTTTTGCAACAATTACTGAATTTAAAGTGGAAAATGCCAACCTAGTTACAAAGGGCTAGAGAAGTAAACAGAGAAAATCAGAAACTGAGGAATTACTCCTCAGTAACTCCTGTGTTGGATGACTCTATCTATAGAGAAAGCTCCTTCAACCGGAGCTTGCCACATGGCATTACACAGATCTGCAGATTCTAAAGCCAGAAGGGACTATTGTTTCACTTGTTATGTATCAGCTTTTATTAGGTTTTCCCTGCAAAACAGCCACAACATGTCATCATGAGTAGTATATGCTTAGAAAATAGGCTCTCAGGGCTGAAAAGCACCGTAGTTTTGCTTCTAGTATCTGCTTGGCAGCCATTTACCGCTTTGTACGCTTCCGACAACTGCGTTATGGGACGGACTCTGTGGTTTACTTGCACCGTGTGCAGAGATTCTAGATGGCAAAGCCTAGGATTGAGAGCGTGGCAGAAGTGGGAAAACTGTTGTCACGGCAAACAATATGATGATAGAACAGATCTATGTTTTATGGTCCCCAACATACTTTCTGCCGGTGCTGTAAAATATGCAGTCCCGTAGCTGTTATAAGTACACATAAGGTTAGGCTACCATTAAAATACAGGACTATAACTGGGGCGTAATCCAGAGCATAGAGCACAGCAGAAATGAGTCCATTATCACGTAGTTTATGTAGACGATTCAAAGCCATCATGATGATCAAATGACCATCAACTCAAAATCACTCTCTTAATTTAATGTTTGACCAGCCACAGAGTCCAATTCATTTTCTGAGTTGAAGCTTCAGCTGGAAAACAGGATCTCTGTCCTCAGTGCATTTGTGGTTGGACTGCTGGTGTGCAAACGTATAGGAATGCATTAACAGTGACAGCCTTTATTCAAATGGTGGTGGATACTCCCGTTAAATGTTAGCCATGACCTTGATGGAAAAGATTACGATTTTTACAGTTAAAATTAATTAGCAACACACCTACAAGTTAGGATCATGACTGTAGCCAATAACACCTGAAATGTATCTGTTACTACTTTAGGTTTCTAAAACTGTCCACAGTGCTTACCAGTTAGTTTCTGGCTAGCAAGTACGCAGTGTTGTCAGTTCAGTTTTGAACATTAAAAATTCAAAAATGTTCAAAGCCACCTATGCTCACCATATGCCCAGTGTTCATGAGTGGAAGCCTTCTGCCTGAATTTCTCAGCCAAGTGTTCAAGTCTTTCCAATCTTCGTATTTCATTCAGCAGCCACTCTTCATAGCCTTTCTCAGCTTGCTCAAGTCTCTGCCAAGCACCAGCAATATCCTGTGAGGAGAATGCATGGGAGAGAAGGGATGAAACTATAACCTCTTCCTAACCAAATTTGTAAATTTGTGATTCATTTATAACTTTGTTCCAAAATGGAAGTTAGGTCCATATTTTTTTTAAAATCACAGAATCATATAAATGTTGCTTCTGAGTAACGTCTGGAAGTCACGTAGTCTAAACTTCTCCTCAAAATGGAGCATCCTGTTCAGGTGTGTAGGTTTAGGTGTTAGCATCCATGAAGGAAACCCTTACATAAATGGCTTTCAAGCACAGCTCCCTGTTCAGTGTTACTTCCTATTTTGCAAAGTATGTTATTTTATGAAGGGCATGTCCGTATCAGAATAAATGTGTTTTGCTCTCAGAAGTTAAAAATAACAAAACAATTATTATCAAGTGGGATTCAGCGTTTGTTTTATCTGGAATACAAATTCATTTCACTTTCTGTGGTGCACATAATGTTTTGTGAGATTCCACAGAAACTCTAAGACATCAGTAGTAAACTGAACTGACAGGCACCTTATTTTCTGAGTATGGAGAGTGAATAATGGTAGTCATCCTTTTCAGGTAGTGCAACTGTCTATTTATCAAACGTGAGCAACCAAAATGCAATGCTAGAACAGAGCTCATAAGAACAGGTTTGCTATATTTCACAGGAAGTGTTTTGACCCACAGTCAACTCACAATATTTAGCAACAGATGAGAATTCTTAGTACAAACTGTTCTTATCTTCAGAGACATAAGTAAAGATCAAATGGAATTTTAAAAAGTAGAAAAAGCGCAGAAACATACATAGATCCCTGTCTGTTTCTCTAAGTCTGGTGAATAAAATGTCACAGAAACCAGTGTGAGTTTTTCTTAAATAAACAACAGCATTTGCCCTCACTGATAGAGAAGTATTGGTAACACTCCCAAAGGAGGGTCTGTATTTTCTCAAGTCTCAAGACAATTTGCTACCAGAGAAAGCCTTAAAAGAGGCAAGATTTCGAGAATGAAAGGGAATGTATAAAAAGAATGGTTTGATAAAGTGCAACAAAATGAAGTTTTTGAAGATGATTTAGAATGGCAATTCCATCCTTCATATTGAAATGTTCATGAGAATATTGACTTAAAGGAGAAGGGAATATTGGTCCTTCTTTTACTTACTGAAACCATTTTCCCCTCTGATGGCATGAAAGCTGGCCGATTGCTGATCCTCAGTTTTGTCTGCAGGGTGTTGAAATTGATCTCCAGCTGACATTTTTCCTGCACTTTGGGAGGTTTATGTTTGCGGCGGTAGTCTCGGAAATCCTCTAATTTCTTCTGCATGGCCTGCATTGTTTTTTCTGGAGTCCTGTTTTCCAGCCAAGGAATTGTCCGGCGAATCCATTCTAAAAGCTGTCAAACCCACACAAACAATTGAAATAAAGGCAATGCAAGAGCAACCAATGAAGATAATACTGAATGCACAAACCTCAATCATTTCTGCTCCTTCTTATTTTTATTGCGTTCAGTTGGTATCAATGCCCTAATGGCAGCACAAGATTTTCAAAAGAAGCGAACAATAGCATGGGATACCTTAATTTTTTTTTCCTAATTTGCCCGAATTAAAGTATGCCTAGAATTAAGATATTTCTAGAGATGCCCTGATTTTCAAAAAGCGCTGACACACATGTAAGCTGTCTCTACCTAAATCACTGGCAACTTTCAAAAGTGTTGGTCTTGATGTCTCAAGCAGTCATAGTTACGAGATAAGGACAGACACTGGTCAAGTAACTCAGGTCACATGTAAGTCCACTCAGAAGTTTGTTGGTACTGATGTAGCACTACTGCTCTCTGTGTATAGGAATATTGGTATGTATTTACAAGTTTGTGCATTATACACACAAGGCAGCTCTCACTTCTCCTTTACACATCTGCAGTCCTCACTTAGCAAATTTGCAATTTACCAAGAAAGGATAGGAAGCACTGACCCAGTAAATCTGCAATATACTTAGGGAAACAAATTCATATCACTTGTGTTTTAAAGAACCGGCAGTATTCTGGTAAAATTTAATCAGAGGCAATAATGAGGACAATATCTCTCCTTCTCTGTTCACTGACTGTGTACATAGGTGCCCTGTGAATAGCCTGAGACACCCTTTCTAAGTGTGCCTTGCAGTACCAAAAGCCAATAGGTATGCTTAGACTGACAGGGTCCTGCATGCTGCATACGTGGTAAATTAGGTGGGCTATCCTTGGACACTACACAGATGGCAAGCCTAGTGTTGGAGCAGACAGTCCAGGACAGTCTTCAAAACACCCCTGCTGGCACACTAAAGAGACTGAGTGACCTGCTGGAGGTCACATCGGAAGTTTTTGGCAAAGGAGTGACCTGAACCTTGGGGTCTTGGGCAACTGAGTTTTGTATCCTACCACTGTGAGATTCACCTTCAGGGTATTTTCACTTTGCGGTCTTGCAGATAGTGCAGGAATCTTTCACCTTGCATGTTTTATTAATGTAACTGTCACTGTGTAACGGATACAGCTGTCTTTACCTCACTTGCTAGTCTCTCATATTCTTCCATCAACCTCTCATTTTCTTGATTCACAGCAAGCACCTTACAGATCCGATTAGCTGCAGTCTCAGCCTATAAAACACAGCAAATAAACAGGACGAATTCATAATCACATTCTAAAACCGGTACAGGCTTGGAGAAAGAGACAGAATGTGGCTGCTGCAAACAAAAGTCACACTGTTCTATAGTTGTTGATCTGTGCTCGTAAATGACTCAAATATACTTTTGTCCACCTTAGAATTGGTGGGGCAAAGTCTGTACTGAGAAACTCCAGTGGCCTGAATGAGGCACAGATCGGCACAGAAGTCACTTTGTTGTACAAGAGGGAATTTCACTCTACCATTACAGTTGTCTAATAAATCATTTGCAAAGCAGCTAAGGACATTCTTCAAGTTATTTTATTAGGTTATTTTTTTTTTAAATCACACAAGAAACATATTAGGTTTGTTAGCCACACTGGAAAGACACCCCCTGTGATTTAGGAGTCCCATACCACTCCGTATCTGTACATCATATGCACATCTACCCTTGAGGATGCATGCAGCTCAACCACTGACAGCAACCCTTTTTGTGCCTCCTGCCAAATTTATTTGCGAAAACACTGTTGCTCTGCCATATTTAAAATTGACACTAATGGTTTGACATCACAGATCTGTACTTTCATACAAATAGTAGTCTGGAATAAATCCAGTGGAATAAAAAAAAAAATCTATGTAGACTGCTGCGTTACAGAGGATATTTGGAATCTCTCTTTTGCATTAATAACAAGAATTAACAGCACTAACATAGCTGTTTGAGACAAAGGAGAACCTGCATATACAGAAGGAGGAGGGTGCAACAATATGTAGCTGTGCTGTGGTAAGGTGTAGGAGGCCTACCAGATGGGAAGAGAAATTAAATCCTGAGGATGGAGGCAAAATATCAGTTACTTTACGGCATTTATATTTTCATATAAGTTCGGTTGTGTCCGTTTGTAGATTACAAATATATGAAGCAGCAGAGAGGGAAATGTGATTTTTTAAGTGAGAAACCCATCCAGTATGACAGATTTGCTGCTGATGTTCTTGACACTTCTACTAGCTCTCTACTCCACAAATCATTCTGTTGGTTTCATTGGGAGCCAGGCACCAACACTGTTTAGACATTTTACGTGCCTCTCGGCATCTTTAGGCATCTTTAGGCATCTTTGAAAATCTAGCCATAAACTATTACTCAGCACGAGCAAGGCTAGTATAGTCTCACTCTCCAAAGGTCAAACATTCTTCTACGCAGAGAAAGTAAGAGAATATTTTTTGATGCAGCAACAAATACAGAATCTTCAAATACAGTTTTCCTGAAATAGCCTTCACAATCACCAAATAAGGACACCCAAAATTAAAAATTCTGACAGGAAGCAGTAATGCTTATTGGAATAAAAATGTTCAACTTGCTACACAACATTTAACTAAATCAGATTCAAGTGCTGGTTAAAAAAAAGTACTCGCAATTGTTAATTAAAACCACAAAGTACTAAATTAGGGTTTTTCAATAAGCTAGTGGAAATGTGAAACAACCAGTCAAAAACACAGCAACCTGAAGGGACAGTTGAATAATACCTGCTCTGCTCCAGCAAAAGCATGGTAGAAGCAGGACACATATGTCATGATAGCTCTCTCATCAGGTTTGGGAGTGTTCACAATATCTACAAGGGGGAGGGAGAAATGAAAACAAAACAAAAAATCGAGGAGTAGAAAACAGGATGAATAAATGAAAGCACAATATAGTTGTCATTCTGATTGTTTTATTGCCCATAGATAGCTCTGTACTCTAGAAACTATGCAAAGCTGTAATAAATTGTTAGACTGATTGGTGCTGGCAGAAAAAAAACATACCCTAGAAATGCAGCATGAGCTGTTATGGAAAGGTCGAATTTTTTTAATGGGCCTGATTATGCAGAACAGGGGGAATACCCTTAATTTCACCAGGACTATCTGCCTAAGAATTGTTCACAGAACCATGGCTTGTTCGCAGGAGTAAGCATGACTACCGGTTGTTGCATGGCACCCATACCTCTGGTGATTTAGAATACTTTTTTTTGACTAAGGCATTGGAAAAATAGGCTACATTTTGATCTGAGATGTTCTCTGGAAGTTGCATGTGGATTAGTTATTACCTTAGCATTATATATCAGTACTCTTGATTTTACTAATACCTGAAGTATGTCCAGTTCTGTAAACTGCCTTGCTTTCTTGTGCTTCTTTTCATTAGGACATGACTCCAGAGCTCCTCTGAGAAGTCTGAATATGTTTGTACGTCTACATTGCATGTTAGCAATGTTTTACGTTGCTGTTTGTACTTACCATTAAGCATTTAACATTTTAAAAACAATCCTGAAAGCATAAGAGAAGGGTTCATTTTCTGAGCATCTGTTATGACAATTTTGACATCTGTAGCAGGCATAATATCCAGCAGGGAGAGAAAGACGGCATTCTGTTACTGAAATTGTTTTTTCACTGCGAGCTTATTTTCATTTTGCATTTTAAAAGGTGCTTCGAAGCAGTGCACAGAAGTTCAATTTAAGAGAACAGGGTCCTCTATCCAGTTCAGTAGCCAGCCGTTGAAAACCTACTGGATATTATTAGCAAATCTATACAGAAGATGAAACAGGAAGGTTTGCTTCTACAGACAAATGGGTAGACTACTGCTGCTCTATAGAGACAGTGGCTCACAGAGAAAATCAGGCAACAGGGAATGAGCTGAACTTTAAGATGCTATCCTAGGAACTAGTGAGGAAAAGATCAGAAGAGGAAAACTGCTGAAAGAAACAACACAGAAGGTGAAGGGTGAGATCTGATCCATGTTCTACAACCTCACCTTCTGAGCACCAGCAAATGCATGGTAGTAACAGGAAACATAAGTCATAATGGCTCTTTCATCAGGTCTGGCAGTGTTTACTACATCTGTGTAGAGAGAAGAGGGTTAACTGCTCAGAAATTCTAACACGGTACTTCCATCAGATTATGCTGATGATGCCACCTCAGTGCTGCAAGGATTAAAAATACCATCATTCAGCTTGCATTTGTTTACTGATATCAATGCAAAGCTACCTAAGGTTTAAGAATCAATAAATGGAAAAGAAATGCTAAAGCATCTGAAGACAGAGACTGCACAGAAGGGTATTGCTATGTTCTGGTTTTGTGGAAATTTCCAGAGCAGATGGCATGGCTGGCAGATCTACTGGGTTCAGTGTCACTGTCACTCCCGAGCAACTTCATCTAAAGCACTAGTATTATTCCAGAGTTAACCATGGCTACTGACAGTCACAAAATAGGAGGGCCTATGGTGTGCATTAGCACTGGGTCCCTGTGACTGACAAAGAACTGACACATATCGGAAACCTTAAGAACATGTACTCCTGCAGTCCAAGAATAAATTCTGTGCTAAGAAAAGTTTGGATAGTAACAGTCGTGCAATCCTTTAGCCAGACTGTCTTTTAAGTTAATAGCATAAATCATAGAAAAGTTTGGCTTGTCTAGTGGATAGTTTTGTCCCTATTATGAGACGAAATATTACGAGCATAGAGAGAGTGTGATTGAAGTGTGGGTGCAATGGTAAAAATTGATTCTTTTAGTACTTCAACAGACAAAGCAGAAAAGCTGCCAGTGTAGGAGCTGGAAGATGACGGTGTGAAAATATCCAGGGATGAGGTGACAATTTCTAATATTAACCAAGAGATCTTCTAACTTCAGAGCCAATGTATTTACTGATTTTGCATCTACTTCACATAGCTGTGAACAAACCTTTGAAAAGTGTCTACTGAGATTACAGTTACATTAAAAAGTGATGGTAAATACTTAGAGAGTGTCAGAAGAAGCAAGATTTCATTCCCCCCTCAAACCTGCCAAGAGAGAGATAGGAAAGTAAAGGCTACAATATGCATGAAATCTGGTGAAAAAAAGGTTTCTTAAATTGTGTGTGAAGAGAAAAAATGAAGGAAAGGAGAATGATAGCAGGAGCTGTCCAATGGCAAGGAGGTAGCACATCTGTTAATTCCTTGCACAGTATTTTAGAGTAAACCGATTAAGTGCTGCTTGAAAGTGGAATCACATTTCCAAAAATGAAAACGACTAGTTTGAAGCATGGAAGTGAAACCAAGAAACGACCTGGATTTTCAAAAGCATCCTGTGGTGGCTTAACTGTCCTACCAAAGTCTTCAAGGGGAGCAGACAAGGTGAGTTTGAATGCTTTGGATAATTCCTCTCTTATCAATGCTCTACTGACAAGCCACCAGACCAGAGTTTGCATAGAGAAGAATGCTTTGCACTGATGTAGGCCAATTCCAGTATTTTTATGCCATTCTTGCCTGGAGTACAAAAGGTTGTCTGCCCTGAAGAAGTTCGGGAAATTTTAATAAATACTTCCCTGTTATTTTTAGACAAACTCGAAAGATTATTGGAGGAACCAGACATGAAACTATTTGATAAAACTGATCACTGGCAAGAGGTTTACAATTAAAACAAAATGAAAAAAAATAATTCCCTCAACCTAGCTCTCTCTCATAGAAGGTGTGTTATTAGTAGCATATTTTGGAAGGTCTATACTACCATTTGTCTTTCCAACTCCTTCATTTCAACATTAAAAAAGTGAATATGCTCTAAGCTACCAACAGTTGCATTTCCCTTTATTAGGCTTAGACTTTAAGTTCCTCAAGACAGAGAGAGCTTTTGATGCTGCGTTTGTACCTGAACTGCCACACAGGGGCCATGTGCTGAGGTTAGAGCCCAAAGTGCTGTAACAAATGTAAACAATAACAAAGAATAAGGAACGAAGGAAAAAGTAAGTGGAATTATCCAGTACATGGGCAACAAGAAGGAAAAGATTGTTTGACAAAGACACAGATGGGTGAGATTGCTCCATGAGGGTTCATGTAAAAGGAACGTTGAAAAATGTGCTAGACACAAAGCAACGGAAGTTTAACACCTCCTAAAAAAGTGTTATGAATGACAGAAACTTAGGTAACATATAGCTCTTACCTTCTGCATCCAACATCTTAGGGATATCCAAATGCTTTTCAGCGATTTCCATGGCAAGATTGATATTTCCTATGGGGTCATCCTGCATTAAAAAAGAGAATGTAACCAGTCCAACACAGAGGTCTTGCTTGAAGCAAGACCACTACAGTAGCTACATTAAAACTTACGCAGCCTGACCCAAAGCATAGGCTTTGTAAACTGGAGTCACAACTGCTGCTCTCAAAAAGCAGAGTGCAGGTATATGAACTTTTGGTCTATCCATTGCTGTACTTTCAGAAGAAATCATTAATAAGATACTGTGTGCCACTAGGACTCCACTGCAAATTTATTTGGGTGGGGGACATAGATAACACATGCAGCGTACACTCATACAGTGCTCATTCTGAGTCAAGACCACTGGTCCGGTAGGCTGTGCTGGATTGTTCCATCACAAAATTGGTCCTGCATGTTTTTATACATACACTATTTTAAAGTTATATGACTTCTACCGCGCTAACAAGCTCTCAGCCGGTCAGGGGCATGCATGAGAACAAGCAAGCACAGACAGAAAAACAGTTATTCAGAAGGAGCAAAATTTCCCACTTTTGGCTTGGACCACCAAATCTACAGCATATCTATAACTTGAATTGTAGAGCTGTTGAAAAACAAGAACGCCCTCTGGTTTTGAGGTTTCGATTATGGTTTTCGAAGGAAAAGGAAAGGGAGCAGTGAGCACAACTCAGGCCCAAATAGCACACATTTCATGTTTTACCTTACAGACAGCTATTGCTGACAGGGAAAACCTGTGTCAGATTAGGGTTGCTCTTAAGGCAACCTTTCCATATCTACTTAGAGTCTTCAGTTTTTGAAGAAGAGTAAAACACCCCACGTGAAATGGCAGTTCATGCCATTAACGCTACTATCATTTTCAAGTATTCACAAACTGCTAAATGAACACAGACTCTCTGAACAATGCCAATGTCTGCAGAGACAATTGAGGAAAACAGGACACAGAAGAGCCAAGTTAGAGAACGTGAATGGGAATCTGGATGGGAACCAGAAAAAGGTTAACACGTTTTCTGTACGGAATTTCCCAGGCCTCCATTTGAATACAAACACTTCCTACAGGAGGATCTTATCTTGAGCGTTCTTCTGTGGTTGCTTTGCGCTGAACTTAGTAAGACTACTTACTATGGAATTAGAGCAATGATTTAAGTTTTACAGAAGTCTGTTCTTCATGCACGTCCATTTACTTGGTATCAGTATCTGTTTACTGTAGATTATACATAGATTTTCAGATCATAAGTAGCAATGCCCATAGCATATCTTTCTATAAACATAGCATACTAACATATAAATTGTGTTCTGAAGAAGAGTTTGCATTTTGAGACCTAACAATTTGGGTATAATAGAATAGGTACAACAGAATAATAGAACAGAATTTGGGTATAATAGAATAACCATCAATTCTCATTCTATCATCATTTAGCAGTTTTGTTCATCACATAAAATAAAAGGAACTTAAAATGGGGACAATATAAACTTATTTTTGCTATCACACAGGAGATACCGCGTGTAATAAAACATTTACTAAATGTGTCTACAAAAACTCTTAGTGAAATTAAATGGGCAAAAGCACTAAATATAAGAGAGACCTACTGACTAGATTAAAACACTTTGCTCACAGACGAGTGATGGGCACCTCCTATTTGTGTACTTGGTAATAAGTCCATGAGTAAGCAGTGCTCCACCGGGAAAGGATTTGTTTAAAATCACATCAGCTTCTGAATAACTGGAGATCTCCATCACCCATCCTTTTAAACAAAACTATAAGCCACAGTAACTGAAAATCTCTGCTATTGCTAAAGAAATACCTCATCTAACTTGTCATAGTCAAGAAGATCAGGCCTGTGTCTATGGATAAGGGCGTTGAAAGCAAGGCCACCTTTCCAGCTATAAGTTCACACAAAACACATTGGTGAGAAGAAGAAAAAACAGCGTGCAGAGGACAGCAAACTAAGAAACAAGACACGAAGACAGTTGTTAGTACAACCAAAATGAGTAGTCAATCAAACACAGCCAGGCCAGAAAAGCAAGATCTATTTTAAGATGTTTCTGTATGTGCTTTACGTGCCACGGCTCAGCCTCAGTTTGAAACCTGACCTGCTTTTATTTTAAAAATCTCTAAGAGGGAAATAGCGATGCTGAAGCAGATCTACTCACGTTCTATTCCCTTTTTTTCAGCACACATAAATAGGATGGTTTTACTGTGAAGTTTTTTAGTACTGCGTACCACTTTCAAGGCACAAACTCAATCAAATTGACTTCTGTTTGTGCCACACTTGAGCATATTTACACAAAGAGACAGGTATCTTAGATACTCCATGGCTCTCTTTGGCCATAGGAAGGAATGCATACAGAATAAGAGACCAATCAAGTGTTAATGGCTAAGATTTTGTCCTGCAGTTCAGATTTGCAGTTGGGGTCTCTGCACTAAGAGTAAGGAGGGACTATCCAAACTGTACACCATGGCTGCAGAAAGTTGAAGAGCCAAAAGCTACTTCTCCTACTCCCCTCAGTAAAATAAGAAGGAAGAAGCTCCAAATGAACACTTTACAGCAGCCTAAATTAAACTTCTATGTGCTTAGGAATATATTCATTTGATTTTCATCACTGTGCACCTTAGCGGCTCCCGTATAAATTTTAAATATATATAAAGCAGATAAGGTTTTCAAATCATTTAATTTCATTCTGTCATTTTTCTCCCTGCTCAAAGGCTTTCCGATAACAGTCAATTCCACTGGTAAAATCAATTTGCCATGGAAGAGCAGGGAATGGAAAATGTAGTCTATGATTTATCACTCTCACCAATGAAAAGTAGCACTGAACAAATTAAAACCATGACTAAACTTTCTATTTTACCGGTGTTTAGGGGAGACTTCCAAATACATTCTAATTCCAGAGAACAGAAAATGGTATTTATGTACTGAGAGCTAATAAGAAATTACAATATTTGACTTTATTTTCTGGTTTTATTCTTCAGTAATGAAACTGAGAAATTCTGAGTTTATTACTTGCCTCTCACTCCTCCCTCTCAAGCCACAGGTATCTTTCAGAACTGAGATCGTGATCTGCATGTTGTGCCATAAGTAGCACATTGCAATACAACGGTTCTGTAATCCTCACGTGGTACTACCTAAGGAAGTTAGTGTATCAGTTTTGTTTGCACTTATCGGGGGTACGGGTAGAAGTGTAATCAAAAACAAAAGGAAAAAGTGATGAGGAATTTCATTGTGAATTTAATATATAAGCCTAGTATTAATTTATTGTGTGCTCCTGATTACCAAGGGTTGTGTTTGTTCTGAGGAATCTTATGATTAAACGTCACAATGAACCTGCTACTTTACTGCTTTGCAATCTACATGGTCATTTACACCAGATATAAACCAGGATGGACTGCACAGTATTATCAGCTGTGAATGGAGAATTCCAATGTATTTAACTTAATATCAATATTGTGCAGCATCAAAGACTTCATCAACTGCCTGACAGCCGAGGACCAGGTTAATTGCAATTAAATCCTGAAGCCATTGTAGTGGGAAGGAGAGAAGGACACGGGAGAGCCAAGGGGTCCCTTCTTCCAAATAACTGTTTCTGGAGGGAGCTTAGAAAGCCAGTCCGAATTAGTATGCACCCCTCAGCTTGTCCTTTAGCAAACATGCTAAGCAAACAGGAAGTGAGCCAAATCACTGCAGAACAGCATGCTGTACCGCCCAGACTGATGACCTTATTTAGTTTGGAGTAGTCAATAAGATCAGGTCGGTGTCTGTGGATAAGTGCACATAATCCAAGGCCATCTTTCCAGCTTTACAAGAAAAAATAGAATGGAAAAATATTAGTTAATAAAATCATGGCATTTTACACTTTTCTTCTTGCTCAAGGCTTAAAAGCAAGCAGGAACTCTCCTGTGAAATCCTGATAACTACGTTCCATCATCTCTGATCCCTTGTTTTCTGTTACTGTACTCCTTCTCCTACAGATAATCTATATGTACCTAAGCACTGCATAAAACTTTCTAGTTAGTGTACATTATGTAAAACAGTTCCTGATTTCAACTGCTTAATTTCTGCAAAGTTCCAGGACAGCTCAGAGTATATGTTCATCAATGAAAATGCGTAATACCGTTATAGCATGCCTGTGAAACAATAAAAGGAGAAAAAAAACTGCAGTTACTTGAACTTGCTTGTACAATTGACTTTTTCTGTATCACTTATTTCAGCCAATTTTAATGATACAACCGTGCTGTGCACACAGAAGTATAAAACTGTAAGTTCGCTCAGGTTATTTAAAACACTTTACACATATGAGTACCACTGAGCTCTGATACCTCAATGTGACTTCAGGTCTTAGTACCCACTGACACTGGAGGCAATAATAGGCAATGAAAGGAGCTATGGGTATCATCTATTTGGAAAGATTATGAGAGGTCCCTTTTAGCCAGAAGCATTTATTCTGAAAGATACTTTATGCACGTAGATCATTGGGACTGTAGGTTTGGGGTCTTATCCTGTGCATCAATTGTGTAATACTAAATTTGTTAGATTGTTAGACTCCCTGTCAGTGAGACTTCTGGGTAGATCATTCGAATAACAGATCATCTCCAATAAAAATGTCATATAACTAAGCAGAATATACATATATGATATAATATAAAATCTAGAAGGTACAATGCAATCAAAATGAGCACCAAACTAACAAGAAGCATTTTCCTTAAATGAAAAGGTATTGGCTAAGACGGTCTGGGACATCCCTTTGTAAAGTAGATCTGTAAGAGCTGATTAAAACATAAGCAAGGCTTTCCAAGCATTAATAAAGGTTCTTCTGTTCAAAATATTTTCCCTATACAGTGTATTAGAGCCAGCATATAGATACTAAAATACTAAGATTCTGATCTTGCAATTTACAGTGTTCCCTGTGCCTGTATAAAGCGCTACTGAAATACTTTTCTATATATTCAAGGAAAATACCATATAACAAATTTCAGATCTCTTAAAGACTCTATTGTGACTGTAAGTCAAACAAATTCTTTTTAGCTGTGTATGGATGTGTGAACTATATCATCTCTGTCACTACATGGAGAATCACCTGTAGCTGCTGCACATTAAGATCAAATTCAAAACGCTGTAACACAGAGCTTTTGCTGGAAATGCTATAAGGCGGCTGGGGCTTCCTATTTATATTTATGTTACAAAATCAAAAAGACTGATTTCTTGTAATGAGATATCTGCATGTTCATCACATCGATATTTTGCAGAGAACAGTCTATATCTACAGTAGCTGTCATTTGGAGTGGCATTTACTAAGTTACTACGCTGTGGTACTCAGACGTTCCCATATACCTGGGCCTCTATATGTTTGTTCTGTGTGAGTGGGGATTTTTTTCTTTTCAATAGTAACTACAGAAGCCATGGTAAATAATCCAGAAGGCTAGGCAAAGTCAGACTCTGAAGACAGAGCAAAAGAATTTGAAGAAAAGTTTAGGTTAACAGTGAAGAGTGAAATGTTGCTCTCAGATATACCTACACAACTGTGGGAAAAATTTGACCCAAAATATTTTAGATTGCTTTTATTGCCCTTGAAATAATGGAAGTTTACCTAAGATGGAAATTCTGAATGTTCACATTTCTGTAAGGAGCAGTTTTTCTTTGACACCACAGCAGCAGCCCTTCTTTGGCAGAAGTCTCTGTAAAAGACACCAGGGAGTAAAAAAAGGAAAAATGTAAGAAGTGCTCAAGCTATCTTAAATGAGGTCAACCATCTGAAACTGGTTAGCATAAGCTAACATTTAATCCTAAAAGATACTCATGCAAATGGACTAATGGGGCTCCATGTGGACACAGAGGTCAGATGAACTGGAACAACTCTGGGACTGGAATATCAGCCTGCACAGTAATTCTCTGATACTAGAAGTTTAAAGAATTTTATTAGTTGCACAGCAGAATGTATACTCAAAGCAAAATACCTAATACAAATGTAACAGAATTAGGCATAAAAGATTATGCTGGTTCCTACTTGAAATAGGCTTGTGGTCTCGGTCCATTTGTTTACAGAAAGGTATAAATGCCAAAGAAACACCTTCGTCATCTGTACCCTGTGATCATCTGGATGTATGAATAAAGGACTGAAAAGATCAAAGAGATCGCAAGGTCCACAATTAATGTCCCCAAAATTATGGGCAAGACAGCATGCAAAGCTTGAACTGACTCTACTTTCACTGAAAATTGAAATTAGTTTCCAGAATTCTGAGACTTTTCACAACACAGGCCTGATTTAAAGAGTATTTTAACTATGACATACTTTTTGGAGCCAGTTACCAAGTGGAAGCTAAAAAACCCCAAAATTTCTTAAGAAGTGGACAAAACTAAGTAATTGATAAGTAGGAAGTGAAATACAATCAGATAATATGTGCAAAGAAGAAGAGAAATGAACAGGACTAAAAAAGCTGGAAATAGGACCACAGTACAGACTACAGCATAGTTTTGAGCCACCGAAGCTCAGAAACAGTCATGTTGTTTCTCTTTCTTTCTCTTTCTCTCTCTCTGAGAGAGAGGCCCAGAACCTCCCCATTTAGAAAGCTGACTCAAGGTCTCTGTCAGGATAAGGATAAGTTTTTCCTTTCAGAAACTGATTTTGTCACAAGGCAGGGAACTTGCAGTATCTTTTTCCATGAAAAATAATTAATTTTTATAATGCTCATCTCACTTTTGCACAATTCATGTGAAAAAAAACTTCAAGCAAAGGTTATTGTACAATTGTCAATAAAATTGTAAAATAATTTGTTAATTTTTAAGTGTTTATTCCAATTGGCATACTTTTTCCTAATCACTTAAGATAGGTACATTACTCTTACCTTCCACTGAAATATCCTGAATAGCAAAGCGAAGGATAATAGTCCAGATCATACCCAGCGTCATTTTCACATTGCCATCAACAATTTCTAAGGTGAAAAGAGAGGTATCAGAGAATTTTTAGAATGTGCTTCCTAAGTTTTCTCCTACTGAGTTTTCTCTTATTGAATATTTATATAGATAATATCATGTGTCTAATCCATTATATTTTCTGTATAATTCTTTATCCACATAGGGTTCATCTGGGTTCATTTTTCACCAAACTCATGCTTCTGCCACCTTGGCAGTAAGACCGAAGATTACTGACATTAGGGTCACCTCAGCACTTCCATGCTCAAAGGCTTCTGTACAGCTAGCTGTCACTGTGTCAAACCTTTACTTTTTAGGCTGAATTTTGTAGGCTGAGCCTGAGGGAAAATATATGTTGAAAGTTTGAACAATAGCAGCCTTGCTGTTTTCAAATGCAAAAGAACTGAAAAAATATGCTTTTTAACCAATATTTTAAGGAACTGCAAGTCAGCAGCTGTTTGAGGTAGAAGCTGAAAATCTGGCAGTAGCCATAAGAACTTTTAAATGACTTAGAAGTCTGCACTCCAGCTTAACCGATTTTTTAAATAAAATGACATCAGAAGTGCCTAATTCCCCAAATTCCCCTATATTATTTAGATACTTTCAAAAAATTTATTCACAGTGCCTAGCAAAGGCCAGAAATGCAGAACAGCTCAAGATACACAGCACCTCCTGAGACTAGGTTATGTGGCTTCCTGCCAAGTAGTTCTAAAAACATAGCCACAAGATTATAGTAGTCTTAGAGCTCTGATGCCAATGTACACTTATGCACCTTTAATATAAAATGGGATTTTTCACTTCTGTGGTTTGAACTTGTTTCAAGACTGTTTGCATTTACCCACAACAAAAGGTGCTAGGAAAGTGCTTTTCCCACCCCTGCTTGTACATATATGAGAGTCCCTTCCACAAGCCAAGTCAGAATCTAGTGCTCTTACATTGTCTATACTACTAACAGAGACACCACTTAAATTTTTCACAATAGTAACACCAAAAGAAATGTACTGCAAGATCACTTAAGGGTGGTGATTATGTCAAATCAATCTGAAAAGTATGATGAGAGACTCAGAAGAACATAGCATGACTATAAGGAGGAACAAACACTGGAAGGGGAGGAGAGGGGAGGATAAGATGAGAGAGGGGAACTGCCAGCTGCCTGTCCAGTCCACCCACAGCAGATGACCAACGGGGCAGGGAAGCCACCAGCTGTTCCTCAGCTCGAAAGCCGCCTCCAGCCTTCCTCAAGAAGTGCAGCAGCTGTGGCTGCCTGGGTGGCCCACTGCTGTTCGCCTGGGGAAGGAGCAAGGGGACCTGCCGCAGGAGGACTCGCCTCAATCCCATGTCAAACGCCAGCAGAGCTACCAGCAGAAAAGGCAATCTCTCTGCTATTGAAAAGTTGCCTGAATCCAGGGGCAAGTTTTACAGAACAGATCAATTGCTGTTCGAGGACTTCAGATGATACATGTTAAATTGGAGTAGTATATGATACAAGCTGTCATTTGAACCTGTGGTATTAACACAGTGCACAATATAACACCCATTTCTAGTCTATACTTATTTTGGCCCTATAATAATCTAAGTTTCTTTATGAATGACTATTTCCCTGCTTTCCCCTTTGGATTCTACATTAATTTTCCAGAATTCTTACCTCACTTTTCCTACCTTCTTCCTCACTTTTCCATGCATTATTACTAATTGCCTCCGAAAGACCTCAAAGTCTCTTTAAATCTCAAAACTGAACTCCTTCAGCCAAAAAAGACCAAATAGCAATTAGGGCATGTAGCTGTGGAAGTCTGATGTGTGTGTGTGGGTGTGCATAAATATATATATATATATATATGTGTGTGTGTGTGTGTGTGTGTGTGTGTGTGTGGGTGTGTATAAGAATGTCTTCAAATTTATAATAAACAAATTTAAATATTCAGGGGGTATTGCTGATTGTCAGGCAATCAATTCATGGATTTGCATAATCACTACATCGTTATTTTGATTTACATATTCATATGTACACACATAGAGTGAAAGAGCAAGAGAGGGAACTTTCTATGTTGTGCCTCCAGAAAATTTTCAAGCTATTTACCAGCTTCAATTTCTCATTATCTGTCACTAAAATAAGATACAAAATAGTCGTGTATGAAAGACAGGGGAAGATATCTAAACACAAGGAAAACAAAGCAGCTAAATGTTGAAAAGTATCAGTGATTTAAAAAAAAATATTGATTCATTCCTATAATTTTCCTCTATAGGCCAATAGAAGAAAGACTTTTTCATTATTTTCTTCGCATTGTCTGTTTGCTCTGGGAGGAATACAGGTTCTACGCCTCAGTTTAGTTCAAACCCTGACAATAGCAAAGCAATTGCCTTCTGGGGACAAAGGTCTTGCTGACCTGTAAGGGAAAG